CACACACACACACACACACACACACACACACACACACACAGACATTCAGACCGGCCTGCCGATGATACCGCAGCTGAGGGAAATCCTCCTCCAGCCTCTTTAAAATTCTCATCAGCCCCTCACTGCCTCTCACAATGCCAGCCACCCCCACCCCCTCACTTCATCCACAGTGAAAGGAATACCCCTTCACTCAGCCCTGGTTGCTCCCTCCCCTTTGCTCGGGCTTCACTGCATCTCATCTGCGGTTTTTGCCGTTATCTGCTTCCACAGTTCAAATGGGGAAGAAAACATTTTACTTTTGTTTTACAGAACATACAGTACACACAGTACAGCTACTATAGCTACTAGTAGCTACTGTAGAAGACAAATGGGCCTTACAACTGAACATTTTTAAGACTTTTTACATCTGTGCAGCATGTTTAATGTTTCTTTAACCCTCTGCTCTTTTGCCTCTTTCTGCACCATTGCAGCCAGTTCCTGTTAAAACCTATTAATTGTCAACAAAGAATCTCCTCTTTGCATCTGCAACATGTCAGGAGGAAGAATAGATTTAATTTGGCTCTGCATGGAAGTTGATTGCTGCGCTGCAGGAAGCTCACTAGTGGAGCATCTTTTTAAAGAAATGACAAATGTTTTCCTTTGAAAATTTTATTTACATCATAATGGAGTGAAGACATTGTGGATTGTGGTCATTTTTTTTTTCAAATGTTTGTAGCTTGTATTTGTTTATGTCAATAAACAAATGGTAGGCTTGGAGAATATGACAATTTACTCTATGGGTCATTTAGCCTGACACGTTTAAAGAAATCTATTTTATTCTATCTACGACACACAAAAGAAAATCTTATTAACATGCGACTCCTTTAAAGTGAAGGTCAACATTTCTTTCTTACCTTTCCATCTTTTCCAACTTGGAATCAGGCTTTTCTTTAACTCATTTTAAATCTTCTATACACTCTATTGAATATCAATCAACATTAATAGTTCTAAGCACTGACCTTAACCGTGGCTCTTAGCCATGTCTGATTATCGGTTAATGAACTCTTTCAAGTTCAATGGACTAATCAGTCTACCAGTGAAAATTCATTATAATCTTTCAGATTCTTTTGAAAGGCTATTTTCATGTTTAATGCACAGTGTTAAAACAGCAGATGACTTACACCTTTATGGAAACCCACTCCTCATTTTTTGTACGATAAAGACTCAGCATATCAAAATGAGTCTGTCACCTGTGCAGAATGGCTTTTAGCTTTGCAAAGTTTGACCAAGATTTGCTTTACTCCTCTTAGTTATTACAGACAGTGGTCAAACTAAGTCTGCAAAAGCAGCATTCATTATTGTTCATTAACCATATGTAGTTATTTAAATAACTCAAGTAAAAAGCAAGTAAAAAGCATACAAGTAGCATCTCTGGTGTTGTGAGGGAATAAAGGAATCGCTTAAATAACGCTGTACCCTCTCTCTCCTGCTCTCTCCACCCCCTGCTTCTCTTTATTCATTGTTGTTTTCACAGACTACCGGCCAAATGGCAGAGACTTCCAGAGCTCCACGTTGTCGGTCCCCGAGCAGGTCATGTCTTCTAACCACTGCTCTCGGTCAGCTGATATAAACAGGGTGCGGTCGCGCTCTCCCAGCGTTCCCCCACCCTCCAGGTAACCAGTTGCTCAATGCACCAAAGGCCCGACATGTATAGTTTTTGGTAGGTCTTTTGTACATCGTAGTGTTGTGCTTCCATGCTTTGGAATCGACAAAAAAATAGGATCACTAGTTTAGCTGAAACGCATGCTGTTTCAGGTTACTTTCAAATTCGCCACCTGTTTTGGTTGTAGCACCAAATGTTGCTATATTTACTTCAAAATAGCACCTCAACCTTCTGTGAGGCCATGTGCCTCTTGGACAGCAGGGGGCAGTATGTAGCATACATAAGGGGTGATCAGTCCACTTCTGTCACACGGCAGAAGTCTGGACCAAGCACTTGACCTTAGGCCTTCTCAGTACAGTTCCTCTGCTAGAGTGGAGCACCACAGTTTGTCTGACGACAGCTGCACACCTGACAGGTACACACACGCATACACTTCAGCTCACACTTGTGTGCAGCACTACTTATTTAAGCATGAATGTGTAAATGCTGACCAGCGCAAGACGAGTAAGTACACAGTGAGCTGTTTATGTATGCATACACCACAGCACAACGCCTTTTGCCTTAAACTCTTCTTCTTTGTCCGCACTTTCATCTTTAATGTGATGTAGTGGGGGGTTTTGTGTTGTTTTTTTATTCAGGGTCCTCCTGATACAGTAGTGTGGATTCTCCCCTACTTGTGTCCTCAATCTTCATCTACTCCTTATTTCCAAATAAGAAAGTGAGAATTAACGAGCGCAGGAAATACCCGATTAAAATCATCATTCTTAGAGTTAAAAATAGCATTGGCACAAGCTAAAATTCCACATGAGCACCAGCCTCGGATGAGACTACACTCCTGAAAGACAAGTGCACAAGTTTGAATCGAGAGACTGAAATTCTGCAGGAAACATTGGGAGCCAAAGAAATGTTGCCAGTGCTGAGCACATTATACAGGATTTGCATGTACTGTATTTCACTATCTTTATGGAAGAGGTGGTCAAGGGGAAGTGGTCAGTTATCCTCCATCAGCACTTATTTTCTGTGAGCTTTGGAAAATATTGCTCCAAGTGTCCAATTGTGGCCTTGGCACCGCCTGGTCGGAGCTATTCCCACCCCCAGCCCACCCTGCCCCCTTTCCAATTAACTTTATTTGATACTTCTGAAGCTGGAGCTAAATCAGTGTCAGAAGCAGAAAATGCACTTATCTAAATTGTCTGGGACGGTGCTCTGTTGAGTGTATTTCAGCTGCTTCAATTAACAGCTTGCAGTTATTTATTGAAAACAGTTGAAAATGTCACAGAGAATTTGGCATTCTCCCAGGTATCCTATAATATTGTAAAAAATGGCTTTCATAGCTTTCTGTGAGCCTTGCTGGTTTATTTTCTTAACACTTAATGTTTTCTGACTTTCTTGGGAAATGATGTATGTAAAAAAAATCTGTAGTTATTAAACGGTCTAAAGTAGTTTAATGGTCGAGCAGAGGGGACCGGTTTAGGGGTTCGGACAGTGCTTTTCTCTTCCGGCGTCTTCTGTGTACCATTTTTATCTGTCTGTGCACTAGAGGCGAGGAAGTCGTCTCCTCGCCGTGCGATTTCTCGGCTTTCTCTCACCTCTCATCTTCCTCACCAGTTTTTCCACCCTGAATCGTGTACATTAACCTCTCTCCTGTGAGCTTCTCTCTTTTACAACCCCCCCTCGGTTTCCTCCCCCTTCCGGCTGTCCGCCTGTATGATCTTTGTCTCCGATCTGCTGTCTTTCTCTCCTTTCCTCCTTCTCTTCTGTCTCTTCAACATCTCAGATCCATCTCTGTCTTCTCTCCTCCTTCCATGTGGTTGCAGCCATTTTCTCACCCTACCTCGAACCAGACATACTCAGCCTATTGATGACCCTCAGAAGGACCCCAGGTAGACTTTTACCAGAGCTTGCATGAAGCCCCACCTTTGCTACTTTAGTTACCAGCCAGCCAAACCCCCTCCCCAACTATGCACCAACCCACAAGCCTATTTTTTTATATATTTTATTTGTTGGGTTGTTTTTTGAGGAAAGCTTCCATTAGGGTGTTGAAGATATAGCACTGACACCGTGGCATGCTTTAAAAAGCCACATGGGTTTGTGGATTTGAGGTGTAAATCACTTCAGCTGACCTGTTCAATGTCAGTGCCGTGAGTGTTTTGTGTGTATGTGTATCAGTATACATTTCTTCTGCCAAAGATTAAATATATAAAGAACTGTTTACTTTCCCGTGGTGCATCATGTTGATTGGATAATAGCCATACATTTCATCCAGTATCAGCATTGCTCTCTCTCACCATCTCATTATCATATAAGCATTTAAATCTTCTAGAATAAATCATGTGCATGAATGCAGGCTTTGGAGAAGTTCAGTCTGTCTCTTGTCTTTTTACTAAAAGAGCGTCTGTTGGCCATACTGTTAAATAGATAAGTGTTTTGTGGTTGTGAAGTTTTGTCCAGCAGAGGTGGTTTCCCCTGCAGTCGTATGGGTACATTCAGCGCATCAGTGTACTTTTGTATTCAGTTTTGAGATCTGTATTCCAGCTTCTTTGTCATGTTGCCTCCCCCATGTGGTGAAACAAAATTTAAAAAATCGAGCGCTGACCAGCTGTGATATTTTCTCGGCAGCCGCAACCATCGTGTGTATCCGATCTGCCGCGAGGAAGCAGTCAGGTTACTGCGTTCCACTAGGATGACCCGTGCCTATTCAGAGGGCGCCTACTCCTCCGACTATGACTACGAGAGGTACTGACACGCGCTGCTGCGCCCGCCGTCTTGTGGTCTCCTGAAGTTGTTCTTCATCCGTCTTTAATTTATCCGTGATCGTACAGGTGATGACGGAAAATGATATCCTCCCTGATATCGGTTTTTGTTAAGGAGTCATCACGGCTCTGAGGTTGTGTGGCTGTACAGTTATGTTACACAACTGCCTCTGTACGATGAGGCTCAGAGCTATTTGTGTTGCTGATGTCGGCTGTGTAAGTGCTGGCTCGCACTTGACTGTTCCTTTGTTGATGTCATTGTGTACCCGTGCGCATTATGCAAACAGCCATATGTTGATCAGTGGTGTTTGTTATTATTGATGTTGTCTTTTTTTTTTTTTTTTTTAATTTAACATGCTATTGACAGTTGCACTTACAGTCATCCATAGAGTGGCCTTTTGACTTCTTCTATATGGTCTGAATGGATTGCTGGGCTGTTTCAAGCACCTATAGAAAGGCCTGCTGACACCCATCAATTCCCGACCCACGCTGGTGCACCATGCTTCAGTCTTTTGCCTACTGCCATCTGGCTTCCAGTCAGGAATAACGTGACATTTGTGCTACTTCTCTCCTCTCCAGGAGAAAAAAAAAACTGATGAGTCTTCTGAACTCAGCCCAAGAGCCCGACTGACTTTATAAAACTGTCACAAAGTTTCCCTAAGGCCTGGCTTGGCCCGACTTCAGGCTAAGCCTATAACCTAGATACCCATTAACAAGAGCTGTCCATCTATTTCTCTGTGTCTTTCCTTTTGTCTAAACTGACAGAGAAAGGAAAGTAGCCAACAGAGGACTACAGTTGATTCCCCTCCACTCTTCATATAGATAGTTTGTTTCTGTCTGCAGTCAGGCATAGTAAGACCTGAAAAGAAATGAGGGCACAATACAGACACAAAAGCCACTTGGATGAGGGAAAAAAAGAGTCTAGGAACAAAGAGCATTAGTGGAGTTGGAGCCTTTTGCCAGATGTTTTAGTTTTGGGTGATTTGCCTGCAGAAAAGGTTTTTCATGGTTCTGTAGTTTAAGTGCAACCCTCCAGAGTGCACTTAAAGCAGGACAAAGCCTGTACAGTATGCAGCATGTAGGAATGAATACAGCAACTTTCCCGAGCCAGGAAAACAAACATTCCTGTGAGAGCAGTTTGTGTGTTACAGTTGCGTCCACTGAATTACACATAATGTGATGCTTGAACAGACGTAACCTCACATCACTGAAAGATTCTTGGCCGTAGCATGTAATGAGAACGGGACCCGGTGATGATGAGAGTAAATGACTGTTGTATAGATTGTGTAAGGTCACTGACTGATGAGCCTTTATCAGGACATTTCCTCTACTGGACAATATTTCATACTTGAGAAGACTACAGACACTGAATGGCAATAACAAAATGGACTGATCTAATGAAATTATTTATAAAGTATTTGCTATCATTAGAACCCAGTTTGACTGAAGACGTTCCCACATATCTATAGTGTTTTCTTGCATTTTAGCAAACAGTGTGTGCAGCGGTTCATTTCAATACTATTTTGTTCTGTATGAAAGTACAAAAACTATAAAATATTATTACTCACGGTGTGTGAATCGAGACTGGTAACATACATACAAAGGTTAGCAAACAGCATGCTCTAAAATCCCCTCTGCTTCTCAAGACTGAGGTGCCTTTTTCACTTCACTGTTTTTAATATGTGAATTTATTTCTTGATCAATGAATTTCTGTACGAATTTTTTTTTCCTCTCTGTACCTCGTCAGTAATTTTCCCAGCTGAGAAACCTCACCTGTTTTTTTTCCCCTACAGCTCTTCAGATCATCTGAATCTGCCTTCATTGTCACTGTGCCAAAAGTTCTTTTGCCTGGGCATTTTTCAGAATATAACACACAAAATAATCCAAGTGCAGTCACTTTTCCCTCACATTCCCACTCTGGCTCAAACAGAATGCTCACCTATCACCTACAGAGAGACAGCACATAGTCCTTGTTCATTGCACACGTCTTGAGTACTTCACAGTTAAGTCACTGGTTCCACCAAGGACTGCAAAGCACACAGGAGCCACCTAGCACAGTCCATATTGTCTGCTCTTTAAATAAAGTAAATTAGCCTCATGTGGAGAGTCATAAACTATAATGTGTGTTTTAAGAGTTTAGGAATCATTTCATTTTGTCTTTATCTCTAGGTAGTTTTGATCACTACCTGCAAATCAGGCACACTTGACATAACACCCAATTAGCTTCTGACAAGTATCTATGCTATTGGTAGTAGATTGATTATACCAATTAAAAATACATGATTCCACATGATCCTTTGGAGTTTTGAGGGTGCAGAAAATTTCTTTGCCCTCCTTACTGTCCGTGCCCTGCTGGAGACACACTGAGTGCCTGCCTGTCTCTCAACAACCTCTGTAGGAGCCACGGAGCCATGGATAGACACGAGTATCACAGCAGGTCCCGCTCTGCAGACCAGCGGCCCACTATAGAGCGCCACACGTCCCGCTCACGCTCCACTGAACGCCCCCACGACTCTTCGCTCATGAGGTCCATGCCTTCTCTGCCATCTGGGAGGTCCGCCCCCCCCTCACCTGCCTTGACGAGGTGTGACCCAGATCAGAGATCAGAGCCAGCCAACGTGGCATAGAAGCAGACAGTACTTTTTAGTTGTACACTCATTTCCCAGAAGCATAGCTTCACTGGAGGGAGAAATTATTTCAACAGAAAATTTAAACATTAATAAGTATTTCAAGATTTGTTTGGGCGATTTTTTTTGTTATTTTTCTTAATAAAAAAACCCCTTACTCTCGAAAAGCACATTTGAAACATCAAGGCTAATATTCTGCTTTTAACAAGGGATGTGCAGCATGTACCGAGGTTTTACAACTAGGGTTCGTGTAGACAGCCTAGCTAAAAGTGCTGTACTCTCACACTGAGCTTTAAATCAACCTGTAAGAATATTTCTGCCTCCAGAGATGCTCTACATCTTCTAAATGTTTGTACAGCTAAAACCTTTACAGGCTTAAAGCCGTACAGAAGCTGTCCCATGAGCTCCCACCCACCCCGACCCTGACTAACTCCCAGAATAAACCAAAAATACCACATCACACTCACCTACCTCCCACCCTCCTAATCCCCCGCTTCCCCGCCTCACCTCACCTCAGCTCACCTCACTCCACCGACCTCCACCTGTCACACGCCACTTTCTGTTTTGTCTCCAAAAGCACCAGTGGATGTGCTGTATTTTCTTTACACATATCCCGGGCACGATGACCCTGACACCGTAGATAGCTTGCTGACTCCTTTTATTAAAAAGAAAAATTTTAATTTGGGACACACTGCTCATACGCTTGAGTGAGTATAGCAGTGATGGGCCGACATTTTACTTTGATTTCATTACTAACATCAACTGATGCCGTTTGTCCTCGGATGGCATTCTGTTTTTACTTTTTTTGTCCTCTTTCCTCTTCTTCTTTTGTTTTTGAGTTGGAAGCCTGCGGGGACAGTCTGAACGCATGGTCGCACTGGTCTGCTGTTTCTGCATTTCAACTCTTCTCTCCCGCAGCTTGATGAGTCGACTTTACATGCGATTCACTCCTGGCATCTTTTATTGCAGCTCAGCTCCCTACAGTCGATGTAGCCCTCCACTTCCATGCCATGTGCCAAAACATCACCGCTGTGTGCATTGGTTTTATATTGGAGATAAAGTCAACAGCGAGTTTTCTATCACTGATTGATTTCTGCTGTGTCTGGCAGTGACTAAATTACATGTGACCTTACATATATTGTAAATAATTGAATGACCCCAGCTAACTACATTAAATCACGTATTGGCTCTCCATTAAAGAACATAGTTTTACTTTTCATGTTGCTCGTCTCCGATCAAATGTACGCTTTTCTCTTCTTTGCAACACCTACATCGAGCTCCTACTTTATGTCTCATGCCATTGTCTGCTACTTTTTGTCATATAGGGCACATCCGCGTAGTGGGTCCGTCCAGACCAGTCCCACAAGTACCCCTATGTCCAGTAGACGGCAACTCCCACAGCTTCCACCCGCAGGCAAAGACAGAAGTAAGTCACCTGGATGTCTTTTTTAAATTTAAATTACACGGCTACTGTCTACCTAATTGAATTTATTTTGAGCATTCATATATTCAGTATTTTAAAGCGATAAAGTTACTATTTTATGACCCGAACTTGTGGGTCACAAGAAGAGCTTTTTGGTTTTGGTGTCACTGACCAAAGGGATAATTATTATTAGCCGGTGGAACGCTTCGGTAGAAGTTGTAGAAGTCTCAAAAGTACAAGGATTTTTCATTGCTTTATGGGTTTTCACTTTGGCCTTCCATCCATTAACATCTCTGCTCGGTTCCTTTTCCATTCCTCTCTCAGAAGATGGAGACGAAGGAACAGAGCCTCGTGAAGGTCTGTACCTGAATGTTCGGGTTTCGTCTTTCGGACTGGGAATTGCTGCTCGAGCTGCACCTCCCTCCGAAAGCCAAAACCCTGTCTGCAACAGGGCGGGTAGCTCGGTTCAGTGGAGGCTAAACTTGATCTGTGCATACTGAATCCTCCTCCTCCAACCCCCCCGTTGCAGTTGTGTTTAAACGTGCAGTTAGAATGTCCTGTGCCATCGTGGTGCCTTGATCCTACTGATCGTACCAGTGTTGTGTTGATTTGTAGCCTTGCTGTTCTTTTGCTTTGCGTTACACACCAGATATCATTACTAACTGTCTGCAAATAATTCGATTTTTAAAACATTTGGACTGCTGAGATACGTCACCGAAGCAAATATTATGCTATTTTGTGCTAAACTCCACAATTTTCACAATTACAGCAAAACCTGAATTTGTTCACATTGTACAGAGGCATGTGAAGTCCTTAGTGTTACTCAGCACTCCTCTGGCAAATTGTTGCGTGTTGTTGTAATGAACTGTGATATGAAGCACTGTGATGAAGGCAATGATTGTTTTCACGTGTCTTTAAATTGGATGCTGTAAAAGGGTTGTTCTAAGCTTTGTGGGGAACGACTGAGATAAATCTGGAGAGAAGAAGCTCGTGCAGTTCTGGTGAACGTGTCAAAGTATTCACACAACCCTTTTATCACTGTCAGAGTCCACAAGGGCCTTTCCCTGTCTTCTGTACAGCTGCCAGCCAGCCCCGCTCTCTCCCCTTTGCTCTCGCTCTCTCTCAGTCCCAGTCTTTTTTTGTATCTTTGCCATCTTTTTATCACTCAAAAGCTCTCTCTGTGTCTGGACCTCTCCATTGCTCCTTTGTGTCACCTTTATTTGTTCTTCCTCTTCATACCTGCCCCCAGCCTCGCTTACTCCTGTTTTTTTTTTTTCTTCCTTTTTTCTTTGACAGGCACTCTGCCTTTTCACATCTCTCTCCTTTCTCTCACTCTCTCCTTCTTTTGCTCTGTGTTTTAGTCTATTTCTTATAGGACAGCGGCACTGCACGGGCAGAGGGGAAGCATTGATCCGACCCTGCGCCGTGGTTCCCACAGAGCTGTGTGACACTTGGCTTATGCTGAGCAAATCTGATTGTGCTTTTGTGTGCGTGTGGACCTTTCTACACTGGATCCATATTATTGTATTATTCCTGGGAGAAGCTGGAATATTGATATAAGCCTAGTTGGCAGATACATTAACTGTCCTGTATGTGTGTATCTGTTTATGTGTGGCAACAGGGGAAGAGCCCGGGGCGCCTGAACCCCAAAACGATCATCCAGGTGTGTTTATCACTGAGAACACGCGGCGGGTTTTTACTCTTGTGTCATGGCAGATCTTTAAAAATGAAACACGGCGGATGTGAGCCTCTGCGTTTTAAGTGTGTGGAGTTTGCGTTTTGCTCGAGAGTGCTGTACAGTACACGCTGTTGTATAGTACATTCAAACCCAGGCTTGAATGAGCGGCAAGAGTGTTGGCAGAAACTGGAGTTCCCCACGGTTTCTACTTCCTACCTTCCCATCTGTTTACGTGGCACGCTTCTGTCCTTTGACTGTGTGGTGCTGTTACTCAACACTGTCACAGCTATAGTGCTGACTGGCACATCGGATATTCATGTAAGGTCTCTAAAAGGAAACTGTATTTTTAAACAGGGTTAATTAATGGTATCTTTGGATGGTAAGATGGTTGTATGTTGAGTTGTCAATATAACTGTACAACTGCATATAATAAAACTATGTTTTCTGATAATCACACACTGAGCAGAATAATTAACCAGTAGCTCACGGCATTTCTATGCAATAACGCTTGCTGTGCACATCAGATCTTGTGGTATATGTGCATATGTGTGCGTGCGTGCACACTTGTGTGGGCATATGTGCATCTGCGTCTGGGCCCAAGTGGAATGAGCTGTGATATTACAGTGACGTACGGTGTAAAGTTTCAGTGCTGCACCATTTCATGAACCTCCATCTGTCTCCCCACTAGCAGCAGGCAGTGAGGAAAAACCCCAAGGCCCACCGGTAAATGGGAGGAAAGGCAAGTCTTCCGAGCAGTGTGATGGTGTGATTTTGCTGTGTGGGCTCTCTTGGTCCTTCTGTGACATTAGTTAGCAGCAGCTGTGGTCCTTGATGATGAGCTGCTCTGAGTCGCACCAAAGTGTTTTATTCGCCCAAGTTTCATCTCTCACCCAAAAAGCATGGTCCGTTCCTTCTGACTTTATTTGCGTGATCAAACTAGAGACTTGTGTGTAGTGTAACTGATGTTAATGCATACAGAGTGCTGTGATTGGAAGTTTGGTTGGTCTGCCCTTCTCTGCCTCCAGCGTGGCCTCAGAGCTCTAATCTGCCCTCTTCTTTAATACTAATTAATTCTGCTCAGCTCCACCTCACAAAGACAGAGCTCTCCATTTCCATTGTGAAATTGCCAATCATTTCAATTAGACATGGATTATTGCGCTCTTGTGCACACAGTCTTTTCATGCACTCCATTAAGACTGGCAGTCTCTTACAAACATAACTGGTGCTTAGTGCAAAGAAAATTGTCCTTTTTTGCCAAAAACAGTAATACAAATGGCGTAATGGAGTAAAGGTGAATAGAGACATTTTTAGGATAGTGTTCCACATAAACAGCATTTCCTGCTGCCTGTGCATTACACTTTGCTGCAGTACTGCAGAGTGTAATGGTTTTTTTTTTAGTTTTTTTTTATTTGAGAGGCTGTTACCTCTGTTGGCCAGCAGATGGAGCAAAGTTCATAATGTTTGATAAGGAGCTGTCCTTGATTTCAGTGCTGAAGTAGTAAAGATGCCTTTTTCTTATCTGTTTGTTTGTTTGTTTTAATTTATGCTTGCAGCAGCTTTCTATTATTGGTACAGAGCATAATACACAAAATGCTCATTATGCAATGTATTAATAAATGAAGACATAGAAAGTATTTTATAGAGAAGAATAAACATTTGCGCAGGAAGGAGATCTCCTAATGGTGTCAAAATCAGTGTGTGTGTATATCTATGTGTATGTCTTGCTTTAGAGGTGACATGGGAGGACCAGCAGCGAGGGCTGAATGGCTCTCTGTCTGATGGTGGGACACAACCTTACCCTTCACTCACTGACACAGGTCGGTCGGTCTGATAGGGTACAAGTCTTTTTTACTCTCTCTCATATGAGTACATGAACAGTAATCAATGTATCTAACCAGACAAGTACCCGGTCAAAAAGAGAAAAGCGCATCAATCTTGCGTATAGGCCTCTTCATGCTTGTCTGATCAGCCCTGTACACAGCATGATGATTTCTACATACAAGCCTTTAAAAAAAGATTTAAAATTTGTCTTTTGAAATTCAACAAATATGTCTAAAGGTCTGAGTATCAAGCTTAACTGACTGAATATTTCAGGAACATTTCAAAGCTAAACTGAACCAGCTCAAAAACAGTCATTGCTTTACTTGTCATTTGTTTTATAGTATTTACTTCAGTTTGTAAGTTTAGTGAAGCTTGTAGCAATAAAATATTGCATAATAATAGTATCTACTATAGCTGTTTATTGCTCATGGACTCACTGAAAGTATTCTAATAGAATATGGTTTCTGTGAAGAATTGCTGACTTTGTCCTTGTGTGTCTGTTAAGGTTCTCAGTCATCCAGGTCATCGTAGTCAAAGGAGCTTGCAAAGAAAAGCGTCTGGACTTCTTTAAGTTACTTGAAGACATTTCACCTCTCATCCGAGAAGCTTCTTCAGTTCTAAGGTCAAATGGCGGAGAGTCCCAGATTTAAACTCCTAAACACAAACTTAACAATGTGGTGTATGCTGTACAGTGTAGCGAGGAATACCCAGACCTCTACATTGGAGAGACCAAACAGCCACTTCACAAGCGCATGGCACAACACAGAAGAGCCACCTCCACAGGACAAGACTCAGCAGTCCATCTGCATCTTAAGGATAAAGGACACTCTTTCGAGGATGCCAATGTTCACATTTTGGACAGAGAGGACAGATGGTTTGAAAGAGGAGTGAAAGAAGCCATCTATGTCCACTGTGAGCGACCATCTTTGAACAGAGGCGGGGTTTACGACACCAACTCTCTGCCATCTATAATCCAGTTTTGAGATCCCTTCCCAGACGCCTTAACGCCCACTCACATCCTGGGCCATCTGACCTCAGGAATTCGCATGATAAGGTGGGGCCAGGTTTCACAATGAGCTCACCCGAAACCCTGGCTGATTGGGACCCACACCCAGTTTCACACCTTGGCTCAGGCGATTAGAGGATCATCAGGGGGTCCTTTTGTCCCTCTGTGGGGGGATACTCCCACTAGGTTTAAATCTGGGACTCTCCACCATTTGACCTTAGAACTGAAGAAGCTTCTCGGATGAGAGGTGAAACGTCTTCAAGCAACTTAAAGAAGTCCAGACGCTTTTCTTTGCAAGCTCCTTTGACTCGTGACCTGAATGGACTCTTCAACTGGATTCTACTCAACAACAAACCACAACACACACACACACACACACACACACACACACACACACACACACACACACACCATATATATGTATTAGGGGTGCAACGAATACTCGTATCGATATTGAACCGTTCGATACAGTGCTTTCGGTTCGGTACGCATATGTATCGAACAATACAATTTTAAATTTATTTTATCAACTTTTCTTCTGACGATGCTGTCTGTGTTGAGCGCTCAGTGGATCTGCGTTCGACTACTCCGCCTAGGCTGCACTGTCGAGTGCAGATCCACTGAGCGCAGCGCAAGCTAGCAAGACAGAAGCTAAGCTCGTTGCAACATGGCAAATTGAACCTCCCCCACCCTCATTCAGATCTGGCGTTTGGAACTATTTTGGTTTTCATGTGAAGCATGACCCTGAAGGTAAGCGCGTCATGGACAAAAGTAAAACAGTATGTCGGATGTGCCACGCAATGCTCAATTACATTGGTGGGAACTAGTGCGTTAGCGCAGTTGCTCGTTAACGTGTTGACGCCGTCCAGCCCCACGCACGGGGCGATCCGCGGTAACTCGTTAACGGAGATTTGCCGCGTTATGGCGTTAATGTCATTTTAACGAGATTAACGCTGACAGCACTAGTGGGAACACAACGAATATGACTGCACATTTACGCCGACATCATCCTAGTGCAAAGACAAGTGGAAGCAGACAAAAACAACAAGCACGCATGCTACAAACTTTACCCGAGTCATTTAGACAGCCGTTAGCACATGATTCTCCTTATGGGGACCTGATATGTTTAATATGCTGCTGAGAATATAGCCCAGAAGAAGCGTATAGTATAGCTTTTATTTTGGAAAGAGCCATTTCTCTGTAATAAACTCTCTTTTCCAAAGATGAGTGATTTCTCGATCAGATAGATTTTTTTTTATTATTTGTTGTTTCAGCAACATTAAATTTAAAAACTGTACTTTTGAGTTAAAATATATATTTATAATTTTAATAAATGACAAATTAAAAAGGCATGAACATTTTTTTGTATCGAAAAAATATCGAACCGTGACACCAAAGTATCGAACCGAACCGTGAATTTTGTGTATCGTTGCACCCCTAATATATATATATATATATAATATATATATATATATATATGTCATAATTGCTGTGTGTGTGTGTGTGTGTGTGTGTGTGTGTTGTATAGACACACACGGACACACCTTTGATTTAACAGGAGGTGTGTCTTTGTCAGCCTCTGGATGGCATCCTTCTATTTTTCAGTCTCTTCTTGCTTGGTGTGGTATTGCAGTGCATCTTGGAGTTGATATTTTAAAACTATGAAAAAAACCCCACAAAAGATTGTTGTTTTGGGGTTTTTTTCTAGCGCCTTAAAAAATAGTGATACATTTTATAGATTTCTTACCCTTTATATTAATTTCTTTACTGATTTTTTTGTCAGCACTGTACAAATAACAGCGTTATTTAAATGACACCTGATGCTTGCCCATGGATGTATAGGAAGCATGAAATGTGTTCCTGAAATGTTCCCATGGTGACACGCCTTCACCTTCCTTTAAGTTAAGCCTCATTTATGTTAGTTTGTTATGCCGCTTGCTGGTACATTTTGACAACAGAACCAGATTTAGGATTGTGGATTAAAATAAAACATAAAACATCTGCTGTTCTGAGCTAAAAACCCAGTAGCTCTCTCAGTGCGTCTGCAGGATGCAGAGAGGCATGTCTTCAAAGCCTCTGCTTCCCACAGGCCAATCTGTGATGAACCCACAGCTAGCCTGGTCTTCAGTCAGTCTCTCTCACTTTCTCACTCCATCCATTTCTCATTTCTCTCCAACTCTGCATATTTTCTGTGTGTTTCCTGGAATGACTGACGAAGCTAAACCACACTGCTATTACTTCCATGAAAGCTAGCTAGGCAGATGCCTCACATTGTCTTTTAATTCATGTGACACCTCATTATTCAAGCTAAGTGAGTACTAATTGAGCTAAATGCAAATTCTCTGTATGTGTGTGTGTGGGAGGGGGGGGGTGTAGGACAATGAAGGCTCTCCTGGTCGTTACTGTTGATTTGTCAGGTTCAGCCCCTGGGATAGAGATCAGATGGGAGGGCTGGAGAGCAGAACAGGAGAAAAAAAAGGGGTCAGCATGACTCTAAGAGAGAAGGTTGGTAACAAACCGGACCCCGATGTTAAACCTGTGAACTGAGGTCGGGTCAGTCAATGAGCAGCTGTCTCGACGCGAGATCAAAACATGTGTGAACATGTCTTGGTAGCCGCAGAGGAAACAGAAGCACACTTCATCTCTGGAGTTAAACAGAATATTTCGGGGGCCCGAGTGGAAGAAAGGAAGAACATGAATAATACAGAGACAAGTGAAATATGCGTATGAATACAATGTGAATCTATCGGAATCAACAGAGATGCCTGGCAGCAGGCAGTCGAATGTTGATATTGTGTGACTTTTCAGAGAGATCTTGTGGCTGATGCTCGTGTGTGTGTGTGTGTGTGTGCGCGCGCGCCTAAGCGTACGCCTAAGCGTACACTTGCGTGTATTTAAACCTCTCGCACTCTACCCAGGTGATGTCTCTATTTTTTGTCAGTTTGAACGTTCTCTTGGTGAAACTGTGTGAGGTAGCCGTCTCTCTTTTGTGTGCTCGCTGCTCTGTGCTTTCAGTTTTTCTTTTCTTTTTTTTCCTCTTTTTTTCCCGTTCATGTTACTTTTCCAGACTGTTTCCTCACAGTTGCCCCATGCAGGTTCAAGTGACATCCACTTCTCCTTATATACCTCTTCCCCCTCCCCTCTCTCCTCCTCTTCCTCCTTTCCTCACCTGCCTGCAGAGAGGTCTCAAGTTTCTATCTGGTTTGGTACATTAACATCTCTTTCCTGTTTCAGCTCCTTTTTTCCCCTTTAAAGCACAGAACCTTTCCCCTTCCCTCTCTCTCTGACTTCTAATAACTAAACTCTTGGCCTCTCTACCTCAGCCTCCCCCGGCCTCGCACCCTTTTTGCTCTATTTTGACTTCTCACTGTGCCCATGGTGGAGTTTGTGTGTTCTTGGTGTACTCTATGATTTTGTTTGTGTGTTCTGTGCTTGTTGTTTTTGTCATTGTCGTGTTGTATTGTTGTGTCGTGTCCCCCTCCCTCCCCTCCGACTCCTTCCTGTCTACTCTGACCCTCCAAACCCGAGACCTTTGGTGATGGCGTCGCCCTCCCAGCCATCCTTCCTCTCCTCCTTCGCCCTCCCCCTTACCCTTCGTGCATCCTCTCACATCCATCTTCCTCTCCTCTGTCTGTCTGTCCATTGTGTGATGTAATCCCAGAAGACACGGACTCACCAAGTTGGACGAACTCAGGTCTGTCCCTTCTTCTTCTGCACCTTCCTTCTTTTCTGTCTCAGCTCCCTCTTCTCCTTCCTCTGCTGTGATTCTCTCTGTACGTCTTCCTGGCTTGCCCTCCCCCTCCTCAAACCCGCCTCCCCTCATCTCAGTCGTCTTTTATTTTCCCGTTTGGCTTGACTCCAATTTCTTGCGGCGTTGCTCTCTTCGTTGTTGTGTAGATGATGCTTCTGGCTTCCATACCATTTATGCTGCTTTATTTTTTCTGCAGACAGACTGTGTGGGCTTGTCATTCACTAAAGCATGATCACGATCACACCAGTGTGGTTTCTTTGCAGCACATGAGACACTGTCATTTTCTACCAAGCTTTTAAAAAAAAACTTACTGTGAGCGTGTGACAGCAGATTTATTCTTTTGATTACTCTCTTTGTAGACATAGATTTGCTACTTTTTCCCTAAATTGATTTCTTTTTGGCCTATTTCAAGTGAAATTTGATGATTCATGTGGTTTTGAATGACTTAGAGTTCCTAAACGCTGCTAATGCAGTGCAGTCAAAAATTTTACTCACTTTAGTGAGTATGGTTTTCATGATCTTGTTCCACAGATTTGCTTTGAAATGAAACAATAATTGCCGCACACATTCATGCACAGTCACCGAGTCACTTAAAATGTGGTCTCTTTGCAGTCCAAAACAAAAGGTACAACTTGTTAAGCAGCTAGCCTCTGAGGTCCTGGTCGTTCAGCTTTTTATGTCTAGACCACACGAGGTTAAATGTTTTTATGATAAGCTAAGCTAACTGCCTCGTTTCTCCAGCTTCAAGCATGAAAAAGCCATCAGTCTTCTAGGATCTAACACAATTTATTGTGATGAACTGTCCAATCTTGTTTGTCCAATAAAAATTGGATAAACAGAGCATTGTCATTGCCAACGCATAACATACAGACGATTTGTCATGTCCCGAGGCGTCTCATAGTAACGAAAGGTACCCTTCCGCGTCCTTATGAGATGCTCCGGATTCTCAATTGAACCCAATAGAATGCCACTCGCGGCGGTAACACACGCTCCAGCCGTGTTACACCCTAACCATAACCATAACCTTAACACTATCAGATAGTGTTTTCCAAAGTGATTCATGATCAGAACGTAAAACACATTTACATGTATAGATTCATTCCAAACGGCTCTCGTGCCTCCAAACGCGTAACACACTGGCGATTTGTCACATGCGTTTCTATGTTACAAGTTGGGATGAGAACGTGTTGGTATAAAAGAACATGAACTCAAAGTTGTTCAATTTTAACCTGATATTTATCACGACCACTGAAACGAAGCGATCACAAAAAACGACTTTCTGACTGCACTGGAATTTCAAAAGCAGCTCAGTTACAATCATTTAACAAAGTTACTATTAGTTAACAAAATACTCCTAGAGAGATGCGAAATCACATGTAGTTTACTAACTGCGTGATGCGTCAACTCCTTTCGCTTCACTCATGCAGTCATTCATTTGCTCTGAGCTTGTATTCCTTTATTTTACTCTTTTTCTTTGCTTTTTCGTTTCTCTTTGTGTGCGAGTGTGTACATGAAGGCACGCGAGCATGGCGCCTGTACGTGTGCATTCATCTTCACTCTGTCACTGCGGTCATATGACACAAAAGTAGAGACAAAGAGTAAGCAGGAAAATGGAAATGCAGGAAAAAGCAGGAAAGTCACCATGTGGTGAACATTTTTGCAGAAAAGAAACAGTCACTGTAGAAACTGTTTGTAGCTTATTTTGTCATTTTTAGGTTTGTAAAATGTACACAGTTCCTATTCTTATTGGTATTTGTACTTCAACAGAGGCCTGTGCATGGTTGCGAATGTAAGAATCACATTTGCAGATTAAAAAAGGACTAAAATGCCTGTCGGTTTTAATTGAGAGGGATGCTTTGGCCAATTAATGTGATCGTTTAGGGATTTCAATTTGTTGTTTAATCATTTCCATTCATCTAGAGTTTTTTTGTAAAATGCATCACTAGTATTGTTACAGTTAGTGCTGTAGTAGTACTGGAGTAATTTGGCTTAGCATTCAAATGTGTTTTACTGAGGTCAGATAAAAATATTTGAATATTAGTGACTGACTAAAAAGCAGCATTTTTTGTGGGACTTATTGATTTCAAAAATTAGTTTATTATTCTATGCAGCATATGTTTACGGGTTTGTGTTTGTTAAAAACAGCCAACCATTCAGCTTTTCCCATTAGATCTGTCCCGTCATAGCTCATGGCTCATAGCTCAACAGAAGCCTCTCTCACCATAACAGTATGCCCCTCCATGAGGCTCTCCTCACAGTCCACCAGCTCCCAGCTGACTCGCATCTGTCTCTGTGCTCAGGTATGGACATGGAGGAGAGGACCAGACAGATGAAACTAAAGATGAACAAGTATAAGCAGGGAGCTGGTTCTGACTCAAGACTGGAGCAGGACTACCACAAGGTAAAGAAAACACGCCCAGGTCTGCTTAATTTATGCTTCAACACTCCAGAAAACCACGTTCCTACACAAACACTGTTCACAAAGTTCCAAAATGCATGCTCACTGATGTTTGCATCATGCACAGATATGGTCACAAAACATATCAAAACAAAGTGCAGCTGGTAAAGACTCAAAGGCTGGAAAACACAGAGCTGGATACAGCTGTTCTTCTAATCAGCTCATCTGAGTCACAGATATATATTATACACGTCTTTATTCAAAGCTTTGACTTTAAAAAGCGACATGCATCCACAGCGCCACAGGATACATTTTATTAATCCTTCCCAACAGTTTCTCAGCAGTGTCCATTGTTAACCCAGAAAAAGTAAATGGAACGATAAGATATCTCAAAATCATTGCACACAAATCTAAAACGACAACAATCTAAAGCCACCTAGAGTTATCTCTATGTGGGGAAACTACATTTTTCTCCTTGTCATTTAGGCCAAATACTTCAATACATCACTTTGCAATTTCAAGGAATTGTGTGTAAAATCCACTGTTTACTACTCTGTTCTGGAGAAGTCCTGAACATGTTTAGAGAGCTCGGCCAGAGCCTGCTGTCTCACTGCGGTCTGGTCTGAGACCTAGCAGATGAAGCCCCTCTGTCTGCTTTCCTTTTAAGACAGTGCTATGAAAACTATGGCATTTGGAGTCTATAAAAAGCTGCTGAAATTATTCCCCAGTCCTTGTATGTTGAGCAATATCTTCCCATTGACAAAAACAATGCTAATAAAGGCAGTTACTGTAACACTCCGTCCAGATTTAGTTACAGTAAACAGCCAACCAAAACATAACAGGATATTATATACACATCCACGTTCACAAATGTGCTTGGACTAAGTCTGTGCCAAGATCATCCCAGCCCAGTTCAGCTTCCAGGAAAGCCTGTGTATAAAGTTAGTTGAGTAGAATCCGACTTTGTGAGCCAGTTGACTGTCACTGGATTAAACAGTATATGGTAACTGTCTTCCTGCCACTTATGGTTAAGTACTCATGCAAAACTTTGTATGTCTAAATCAGAATATTATTCATTAATTTTTTTAGTAAAATGTACATGAAGTATTAAGAGTACAATTACAGGAGATCACAAGTCTTCAAAAATGGAAAACAAACACATTACCTGATTGAAATTTGGCCGATCGCCTGTTTAAGATCATCTTCTTGTGTCACTTTTGACTGTTTTAAGCGTGGGTGCAGTTTTTAGATCGCACTCTACAAGTCCTCATGCTTGTATGTCTGCGATGCATTCTGGATCTCATCCAGTTAATCAGAAGGATGATACCTCAAGTTGTTTTTAATTTTTGGAAAGTTCACAGTCTCTGTGGGACAAGTTCTCAGAGCACAACCCTGATTTTGCTCCACCCAGTCTTCCACTGAAAAGTGCTCGTTTTTAGTTAGACATTCAGCTTCTTCCCCAGTGACAATCATACCCTAACAAATTAGCAGTAAAATTGCACATCACAAGCATTAAGAAGCAGGCATACAGGGAATTACTTTTGCCAATTTGTTTTGCATGCTGAAGTAAGTTATGAACCATCTTATTACTTAATCCCCGTAACCCTGCTTTGTATGAGAGCCTTAGCCTGTATATAAACAATTGACAAGACATGACAAGAATCTTTGTTTTATGAAGTCCCGTTTTAAAGCCTGGAGAATAGCGTTTTAGTTGTTGCCATCTGGGTGTTTCAGAGCCAGGAGTGACCATATTTGGATGACTCTTTGGAGTCCTAAGTTGTCAGCTAATGCTAACAAGCTTGGTTAGGAAGGTACATCACACAGACATAAACACCTGTTATGAACAATTCTATGTAACACACAAAAAAGCCTTCCAGTATTACTAGCCAATCAGCAAAACTGGATTACATATTTCATGGATAGGCTGTTGGCAAGCCATATTGCACCTACAACCAATTGTTATCACACAAATCTGTCACACTGCTAGGCATAGCTTTAAACTGGGTAGTTGTTGAAAAAGAAAAGAGCGTGCAAAAAGGAAACCAACGGCGCAGAGCGAGGTTCCCAGGTGTGCTGTGATGCAATCAAGAACAATTGGACTTTCTAATATTTCCAATGTTTGCTAGCTTAACTTAAGTGCCTGCAAATATCTTTCAAAACAATGTCCAAAAAATTTAGTTTATTGAACAGTTGCTGATGAATGTTCCATCTTTGGTCTCTGGCAACAACACTGTATGGACTGTGATTGATCAACAGCTTCTTGTAAACTTTATCACAAGTGTAATCACAAATGTGCGCATTATTTCTTTGTCTGCATTGTTAATCGAACACAGTAATGCAAGAGCAGGCAGAGCTTGACATATTCAAGTTAGAAACTCATAGAAAATAAACATGTTAATCCATGTTACACGCGTGTGCTGCACTTTTTCTCTCGTAGTTTGTTGGGAGGAGCTAAAATGGCTCTTTTGATGTTGAAGATTGTCGACGCCCGGCCTGGACCAATGTTAGGTTTATTTCTGCTGTGAAACTGGGCATTTTAACATAGGAGCTTGCTTGTGTGACATCTTCAAGGGGCCATTGAAGAATCTGCAGTTTTGTCACTTTTGCAACAGTTTTATTTTTTGACCCTAGTTCCCAATTCAAAAATCTAGTTTCCAGAATTCATTTTACTTGTTACTCTAAAACACGCATCATGTTTGTTTATAAAGAGTGTGAGTAAGTGTGCAAATATTAGACAAGATCTTGCACAAAAAGCACTGACTGGGAGAATGAGAACTATAGTAACAAATGCTTTAGGTGCTCAGTTAGATTAGAAAAGCACAATTTAAGTAGCAGTCCATTTACCATCTAATATATCCATGCTAGATAGATCCAAAGCATAAATTAGCTCAAATGTAAAAAGTCAATTAAAATCAACAAGACAAGCCTGTGAAAACCTGCAACACACACACAAACAATGGATGCTGATCAGAAGCTGAATGAAACGAAGACATGCTTTCGTGTGCCATTCCAGCCTTTTGTACACAAAAATGAAAGTCAAGCTGAAATTGTGGATGTCATTTATAACTTTTCCTAGTCTCTGAACCTGGTAAGACCAAATCTCAAACCATGAACCCCTGCGGTATTTAACTGCAAGCCCAATGTTTTCCCACTACATAATTAAAATACTGACCTTTAAAGTCGCTCACCTAATATGCCTAACGTAAAAATAGTGTGCATATTTCTTCTTTTTTATTTAGATTCAACAGCTTATTTCTGAAATACTGCTTGTCTTGATCAAATAGTTTTCCCTTACAAGGCAAAGACGTAGAAGTCATTTTAGAAATCTCTACCCTTTGGTAACTTGTTGAAGTTTTCATTGGGACTATTTTAGCAACAACATTTTGTACTTGTTAAAATTGTTGAGTGCTCAAAAACCCCAAACTTGTGATATCTGATGTCACCATACTTTATGTCTTATTCTTTGCCCTCTTTGCAGCGTTCAGGCAGAGATCCACGGGGCTCCGACAACTTGTCAGCCAAGTCGTCGGACAGTGATGTAAGCGACGTGTCCGCTGTGTCGAGAACCAGTAGTGCCTCTCGGTTCAGCAGCACGAGCTACATGTCTGTCCAGTCAGAAAGGCCGCAAGGAAACCGCAAGATCCGGTAGGCTGATGCAAACTTTGTGTCGCTCTTTAAATTACCATCAAGCTGGAATGGACAAACCCCGCCCCCCTCAGCGGTGAAACCCATATTCATTACCATGTCCAGACGTTTTCAAATTTGAAACTGTTTGCACATGGTTACCTGAGGAGAAAATGCCCCTCCTGTAGCGCTGCGTGTCATTTTCTCCCTGTGATGAGTTCAAGTTTGGCTCCATTTTAGAGAATCTGGAGCCAAGTGGTTGAACTCTGTTCCTTCACGCTGTGGGGGAAGTTTGTCCATATCTGGCAGTAGTCACTGAAACATTAAACATATTTCTACTCTTTGGGTGTCGTCTCATATCAAAGAAAAAAACAAACTCCTCTGCATGGTGCTTTGCTTTAAGTCTACGTTAGTTCTTCTGTGATTTAGAATCAGTCTGCTTTTGATCATGGCTGCGTTGCATCTCTGTGTTCGTCTCTCTTTTGTTGTTGACATTGTTCACGCTTTGTTTGTTTTTTTCTGTTTTTTCTGTTTCTTTTGGCTTTGCATGTGCTGCTCTTTGTGCCTCTGTTTCCATCTTCAGCCAGTTGCGATCGAGGAGCCATTCTCGGGAGGGGGATGAGCAGTTAGGAGAAGTGAGGGAGGAAGAGGAGGCAGGAGAAAAAGGCAGAGGGGCTAGTAAAGAAGGAAGGGTGCAGAGAGGGGGGAAGGAGTGGGAGGGAAAGGTAGACGCAGGCGAAGAGCATCAGAAGGATTTGGTGGAGAAAGAAGAGGACTTGCACCAAAGGAGTATCTCAGAGACTGACCTCAGGTAACACATGTGTAGCAGCTTCAAACTGTAGACTAACAATGATGAAGAAAACTACTAACAGTAGTATAGATCCCGCTGTAGATCCCAGTGGACGACTGTCTTTTGCACATTTATATGAGGACGTGCAAGACAGAGTGTGGTGACTACCCTCCTCTCTTTACCTTGATGATGGTGTAACTGTGGCCCTGTTGACCTTTAACAATACTAAGGTAGAGTAGCATTAATATTTTACACTGCTTAAAAAAGATAAAGGAACACTTTTTAATCAGAGCATCAAGTCAGTTCAACTTGTGGGTTGGTGTTAAACTTTTTCTATGATGGTAATGAAATCATCAACAGGTGCATTAGAGGTACATAACCTCAAAAACAGGAATGGTTTTCCAGGTAAAGACCAATGATGTTTTTCCCTCATCTTTTCTGACTGTTTTTTCAATAGTTTTGCATTTGGCAAGGGTCAGTGTCACTACTGGTAGCATGAGGTGGTACCTGGACCCTACAGAGCTTGCACGGAGTCCAACTCCCCTAGGATGGCACATCAATGTGTGACATAGCCAGAAGGATTTTTGTGTCTCCCAGCACAGTCTCAAGAGCATGGAGGAGATTCCAGGAGACAGCCACTTACTCTAAGAGAGCTGGACAGGGCCGTAGAAGGTCCTTATCCCATCAGCAGGACTGGTATCTGCTCTTTTGTGCACGTAGGAACAGGATGTGTGCTGCCAGACCTACAAAATGACTTCCAGGAGACCGCTGGTGTGAATGTCTCTGACCAAACAATCAAAAACAGACATGATGAGGGTGACCTGAGGGCCCGACGTCCTCAAGTGGCCTCTGTGCTCACTGTTCAGCACTGGAGCCTGATTGGCATTTGCCATAGAATACCAGAATCAGCAGCTCCACCTCTGGTGCCCTGTGCTTTTCAGAGATGAGAGCAGGTTCATTCTGAGCCCATGTGACAGACGTGGAAGGGTAACATCGTTCAGCATGACCAATTTGGTGGTGGGTCCTTGATGGTCTGAGGAGGCATAATCCATGGAGGGACCCACAGGCCTCACACACCCTGACGGCCGTTAGGTATCAGGATGCAATTCTTGGACACATTGTCAGAACTTATACTGGTGCAGTGGGTCCTCCTGGTGCACAACAATGCCCGGCCTCATGTAATTAGAGTAAGCACACTGTTCATGGAGGATGAAGAAATTGATACCACTGACTGGCCTCCATGCTCAACTGACCTACATCCAACAGAGCACCTCTGGGACATTATGTTTTACTCAGTCCAAGCTGCCAAGTTGCACCTTAGATTGTCGACGAGCTGAGTAATACTCTGGTCCAGATTTTGGGGGAGATCTCCCAGGACAGCAGTGGTCATCTCAATAAGTGCACGCTCCAGTGTTGTGAGTCATGCACACATCCCATTGGGATCGAATGTATTTTTAAAGTGTTCCTTTTAACATTTTTGAGCAGTGTATAATAGCAGTGACATGAAAACAGTTGGTGTCCATGCAGTCTGTTCACACATCAGATAATGTGAACTCTACAGTTACTATCTAAAGAATAACCTTTATCCTGAATTTATAGTACTGCACTTAATCAGAGCTTGCTTTTACAGTATGCCTGCAATGCTCTGACACCACGAGGAAAACTGAGCTCTTCATGTTTCATGCTTTTAAACAACAGTTACTTTTATCGACATGCAGGAAGTAGAGAAGACCTTCGAACCAATGAAAAAGAGCAATGAAAACAAGAAAAACTGCATGTTTACCATGGAAAAATACTATTAGGATTATTAGTGTGCTAGATACAATCACAGCCTGTTGCCTTATGTTTCACATAGGTATCAGCCTTTTGCTGATCAATATTTATGAGACATTTATGAGAAAGTGAGCACCAGGTTATGGCACAAATTTAATGCAGTACTGTAAATCCAGCATTACCACAAGGTGTACTGCAAGACCCTCGTAAACATCAATTTTTGATTTGCTAAGAAGTTCAACAAAGTGCCTCCCTGTATTAAACATATAACTGTACATACAAGTGATGATAATAATAATAATAATAATAATAATAATAATAATAATAATAATAATAATAATAGTCACATTCACACAAAGTGTGCATAGAGATGTACAGTAAATATAAAGTCGAAGACTTATTTAAATCAGAGGTTAGGTGAACTGTTGATATTTTACTACACATCATAAAAGCTGTTGTTTTTCTGAGTGGACCTTCATGTCTAAATGTTTAGTGAGCCTTGGCTTCTTGCCTTGGCATATTAGAAGCTTGGCTTCTAACATGTTAAGACTATATTTAACATGACACTATTTCCTGGTAAACCACAAGAGACTGTGGTTTTATTTTTGCACTGTGCTGGACTAGCAGGTCTGAAAATTGTGTCAAGAGCAAATTCAAGAGCAAAATTTATTTGGAAGGCCAACAGAAAGAAGCTTAGCTTGCACTCCTGATAAGATGTCTTTACCATCAAATCACATTCACAGCAGGATCCAAGCAAGCGCTTCTCACCAATATTAGTTCTGCCCCTCGGTCTTAACAGAAAACACATTAAGATAAAAGCTACACCCTCTCACGCGTGATTAACTCTACACTAGTGTGCACCGTCTGATTGAGAAGGTGCACTCTGCACATGCGCGTAGGAGGCTAAATGCACATGCAGAAACAGGAGCAGATCCACTGAAGTGTAAGTAAATTGTACTTACACAGTGGATCGTGGATTATACAGTGCAAACAGAAGATTAGGAAGTCCTAACGCTTTGCCCACTCATCCATCGGTTTACTCTGAAGTTGCTGTGTATATCGCTTTATTGTATGTGCTGTGCTGTGTTGGGATGCTGCATCAGTATTTTATCAGTCCGTGTTCTTCACTTGCTCCCCTGCAGTCATGTTTTGCACGTGCAACTTGTCGACTCAGACCTCCTCCTTGTCTCCAGCTACTCCTCGATATTTCCCTGTTTTTGTGTGTCACATCACAAACCTCATACTGATGACCACGGGGTAATCACTTTCAGTGAATTCACCGGAAACGTACAAATGAGATTTGAAAAAAGCCGACTTGAGCACACGCGTCCCAGAGATTTGATTTAAGCTACAATGCTGCAGTTGCAACGTGTTTCATCTTGACTGAAAGTGAGCTCATTTGGTCCTACTTTAAAAAATGCTGGCAACTCTCATCTGTGTGATCAACCCTTGTTCCTTCATGACAGCTACAGTATAAACTGATATTCCACCTAGTTGTGAGTAATGCAATATTCTGCTTTTTGAGAGATAAAAAATCAAACACTCCGCGTCGTTTTGTTCATTCAGGTTTGCTCACTGATTCATGATTTTTGCAGCTGCACACAATAGAAAAAACAAAATTGCTGCATGCTAATAATCTTAGGATCTGTGAGATAGAGCATGTATGAGATAGAACATTTAGCGTATCTGTTATTCATGCCACTGCATAGTCAATTGTGCCACTGGGCATTGAAGCCACAAATCTCAGAACTTGAACCGTAATCAAGCAGAGAATATCTATAGGTAAAAAAGCTTTTCTATGAGAGCCTCCAGATTTGAAGTCAGAATACTGAAAACAGTCAATCACATGTATCGAGATGATTTGAGGAGTCAGCAAGTGACACGCGATGTGCTTCAAGTTACAAAAGATGCATTTGCTGCTCTCCTTATCTGTGTGTGTGAAAGTAGTAAAGCAGTTTGATTTAGCAGAAACATGGCCACCAGCTACATCTATTTATGAGTCATCTCCTATGTATTGAGGTCACAGTGTAAATACACATCTGCTACACATTAAACAGGCTTGGCATACGAGCATCATGATAGCCGTGTGTGTTTTTAGTCCTTTGAAGACAGAAGCGAAAATCTCTGCTCTGAATGAGACTGTCGTATCCAAGTTACAGCTTAAGATAAATATGAGATCCAGACTTTAATGAATCACTTCAATTCTGCTCACTGCAACCTCTGCAAAAAAAACAACACAAAAGAAATTTGACAGGCATGAACGCATGCTAATGCTCTGATTTGGGGCACGGTTGCCACGGTACCTGCACTTTTCCATACATCATTTATGATTCACCTTTAATAACAGCTGCTCCTTCCTTGTTGTTAGTGAGACTAAATAAATAAAATGTATATTTCACCCCAAAGTTGCTTAATATCTATTGACTCATTTCCTTTTAGAAGACTTTATTTAAATGTTTACCATCGGTTTCTAAAAATGATCAATACATGATACAGTATGGAGATTGGCCTATTAAAGACAGCTTTGTGTAGCAAAACCTGTCTACATTTTTGCAACACCAAAGATTTCGAAGGTATTTTGGGGTTGGGTTATGCTTTGGGAACATGTTGGCCTAGATGAAAATGCATGGTGAGCAATCTGCATGATGAGGAGCTCTGTGTTCTTTGAGCTGAGGTTGAAAATCAGAAATCCCTGGAGAGACCCAGTTTTCCAAGTAGGCATATTTACACAGCAACCCTGGATTGAGTGCCAAGACCTGTTCAGTGAGTGGCGAAACTGTAATGAGAGGAGGTGCGAGAGATTTTATGTACTTGTTTTTATTGAGGACAATCAAAGTAAGGTGTCCTTTTACACCAGTTTATGAGAGTATGAAGAATCGTGAGACTATGATTTACTTTAGAACAGTGTGTCCATTAAGAGCAGATGTTTGTGCATTTTGACAAAAAAAAAAAACAAACGAAAAATAAAAGCGCCGTCAATTCAGTTAGAGCCAAATGTTTATTCAATCCAGTTGCAAGTTCACCCTTTAGGGAACAAACCATCATAGACCCTTAGTGGTTTGGGTATAATTCATCTGTTCCGATAATGGGTAGAATGTGTCCACGTACCGGCAGTGTTCATCACTTTAGATTAAATATTATTATTGGCCATCCTCCTAGAGAAGGATTAAAGTTTGCCTTTGATATAAACGTGGTGACAGGCACTGTGTGTTCTATTAGACAAGTAGGGAATTAGACGAGACATTTATTCCATCAGAAGAATACATTTCATCTCATTTCCTATTTTGTGTCGCTAAATATTTTACAGAACATACATTTCTAATTGAAAGCTCTGCGCTCATGCATTTTAACCTCAGCTGGCAATCATTGTTAGAGGCCACGATCCCCCCTGACCTCGCTGCTGTGCTGATGTAATGAAAGAAGCGGCGCGATCGCCGTGTGAGGAGCAGATGAAATGCAGCCTCACTGCGATGATGGTGAAAGAGCATATTTTAGAATGTCACCTGTAGCACACGGGCCCGTGGTGCCGGCCGAGCGCTTGGAGTCGTCTTCAAAGCCTCTGGGCTGCAATAACCGATCAAAGGCGCTAATCTCCCAATAAGCATTTAATATTTATGTGTTGAAGCACAGGCTGATACTTAACAGAAGCCACTGGTGCTAGAACTGGTATAAACAAAAGGTTTGCTACTGCTGGCTGGGGTACGAGGTGCTCTTTAACAGCACACCTGATTTATTTCACCAACAGCAGCTGAAAAACATAATATGAAGTGCAGACCGCCAAAACAGGATACGCATGTGCCAGTGTATACTATCCACGCCAGCATAGCAAGGAGTGACATGAGCAGCCATTACTACGTGCTCACACATTCATGACGGTTCCATATGTTGTTTATGAGCTAACTGCCTGAGAATGTGCGTGAGACAGACGAAGGCCTGGTCGACTGCTGATGTTTAGGCACGGCTGATTGTCTAAACTAAAAGCACCACTGTGTTCATGCGCAGGATAATGAGATGTCGCAACCATATCAGACATAAACTCCAGCGTTTATCAAATACAGCAGAGTGTCTGATATATGTGAAATTTGGAGTACGATTGAATTAATTGATGGAATCAGCCGTCAAAATGTATTAAACCTTCCCGTTTTACCCAGCACATCTTTCTATGAGTGGTCTTTGCAACACAGTTACATGATGGAGGTCAGACACTTAAATTAATGAGGGTGCTACACGTAACTTATCCCATTAAGAATTCAGAGCCTATGATACAGAATGTAATTTGTCTCTTAAAGATAATTTTACTGGCAGGGCTAAAATAGGACCCTCATTTGAACACTGGCCTATTTCCTTTCAAACTGCAGGAGCTGGAGAATAATGCTGATGACAGGCAACTTTTCTGTGTGCAGCTTTGAGCGCTTGATCACAACTCTTACCTACTTGTGGATGTCCGTGAACTTTTCATTTAATAAATTAATACTTTGATTATTAAATTAATACTCAGAATACTACCAGAGTCTTAGTTGATTAGTGTCTTTAGACATCTTAAATCAAAAAACGAAATAACCTAACAGATAAAATGCAGAGTATTAACTCTATGTTACTCCCGATTTCCCAAACGGCTTCAAAACTTTTACAAACCCATTTACAGAGCTGGAGAGTAGGCTATGGTTGGTCTTTCACTGCATGAAAAGGCTTTAGAATATACACTACATCAGTGTTAACCTCATCTATACTGTAAGTCATGAACTCCTGTACCTGAACTCTGTCCTTTTCTCCTTTTCACCCCACACCTTGTCATCTACTATCCCTCTCCTCTCCTCTTCCATCCTCTCCTTCTGTTTCCTCCTCCATCATCTCTCCATTCACATCCCCCTCCACTGGCTTCCTCTCTCCCCTTCTCTGCCCTGTCCTCTCTTCTCTGTCTTCACCTGTCCCCTTCCCTCCCTCCCATCTATGGTGGTGGCTGACAGTGACTTTGCATCCAAAATGAAAAACAGGCAGATGGGCTCATCGGGTGGGATGAACATGACCAAGAGCACAAGCATCAGTGGCGACATGTGTAACCTGGAGAAGACGGACGGCAGTCAGTCGGACACGGCGGTTGGCACGGTAGGCACTGACGACAAGAAGAGGCGCTCCAGCATTGGTGCCAAAATGCAGGCCATGGTTGGCATGTCGCGCAAGAGCCGGAGTACCTCTCAACTCAGCCAAACAGGTAGGGCATCCAGTCACACAGCCAGCGTGCTCCCAGTGTTCAGTGTTGCATCTGTCCCGTGGCCTCTCGTTGTCTCTGTGTTGACTTTGCTTCGTCTCGCTCTGTTCTTGATACCAAGTACTAATTCTTCTATTTCCAGTTTCCCCTCCGATTTCTTTTTTTTTAGTGCAAGGGCTTTGAGCTGAAGAAAATACTGTTAACAATATTTTCTCTTTTCTCTAGGTAACAGTGAATTCAACTCCTCTCTCCCCTTTTTGCTTACCTCCCTTTATTCTTTTCTTTGATATTTTACTCAGTTTGAGTTGTCCTTTCCGAGCCCAAAGCTGCTCATTTCTTGTGCTTATGATGTGCAAATTTGTGTTTTCATGTTTTCATTCTGGGAAACTGGATTTGATCCTTCCAAACACAACTAAAACACAATTTTCAATATTTGTCACATTTTTTTCGTTTGATGCTCTTTTGACTGTGATTTTTTTTTTTACTATTGCCATCTGCAGTTGTATTTGTTTCCGGGTGCACGTGAGAACATGTGAGACCACGTGCACGTGCGAGATATGAACAAGAAAGGGTGTGTTGTAGCTGAAAGTAGTAATGTGTATTTTTCTGCTGTGGAAAAGGGGCTTTCGCTATTCTACACTTTGCAAGGTGTTCTGTTTTTTGGGTTTGGTTTTTTTTTCCATCTTGCTTTCTTTTCAAAATTGCTCATTACCTGGTGCCACACAGTGTGAAAAAACAGCCTAGCAGGTGGTGTGCAGCGAAGTTTGTGGATGACAGATTGGAGTCTGGTCTTTTCATGCGAAGGTCAGGCGATTCGTCCACTCCCCCTGCGAGGCTGTGACCGTATCTATTCATCTCGCCTATTCAACCTTAAGGTGGCCAGTAATCACTTCTGTCCATTAGCGCTTTCTCCAATACCACAGCAGGGGGGTGAATGCATGTGTATGATGAGGAGGGACGAGCGAGAAAGTGGAGAGATGGTACGCTCACGTGGCGTTGTGCTGTCCCCCACCCCTCCCTGGCTCGTGATTTAACTGGCACATGGGCTGCTGCCTTATCTCTGCGGGTTAATAACGGTACTAACTGTTAATCACATCAATATGACAATTAGCCCATCTTTGCAGCTATTATACGATTTTTATCATATAATAGCTAGGAGATGCTAATGTTTTTGACAATGAAGAAGGTTTTTGTTGCTGAATAAGATGAACCCTCTGAAGTTCAATTTTGAGACCAGTAGAAACAAATGGCATTTATTCTGACTTTTATATGGATACAGGTTTTGAAGATACTCATTTTAGCAGACACATGAACATACTTTCTTTCCTAGTGCGTACAGAGCACATACTGAGCAGCCCGGACCTCCTCGGGCTATCAATATTTTACTCATTGCTTTTAAGTGCATCAGAGGGAGTTAGTAAGAGTGTGCATGCATCTCCCTTTCAGTATCTGTATTTGTTTCTGCACCAGCATGTACACTGCTAAGTTGTCTTGTGTCCTACTTTGTTGTGCGCTGTGCTGGGAGGCTCTTTGCCCGTTTCAAAGGTGCATTCAAAAGCATGGCTGATTTTTCTTTTTGTTTTTTGGGGGGGGTTGTGTGTGCAGTGCCAATGGGGGATGGGTAGATCAGCCAAGCAGCACGACTCTGGCTTTGACAAACACTGGTTAGTCAGGTGGAATGGATGTGCTCCCAGGTGACCGCCATGAGTAGTGTGTACAAATTTGGCAGCTCTGGCTCTCACTCGTCATTCTCTCGGTCCACAGTGCAAGATGGTACACTTTACAGGAAGTAGGAGTGCTTTAATATGCTTAGACCAACAACTGCTAACTGCTGCATAAATATGCTACCTGAAGTGATGGAAATTTACTTTCTTAGTTCTCGGGGTTGTAACAGGAACTGAGTGAGCAGTACAAAGCAAACAGTGGACACATGGGAGTCAATTTTATGAGTTTATTTCTCTTTTTCTTTGTGTTCATTCTGAAAACAGTCACAGTCCTTGCATGCTTGGCCAGTTAAGCTGATTCTAATTCAGGCTCAGGTTCAGTAATGCATCAAGAAATGCTTTTTAATCACTAGTTAATTAGATGTTAAGAAGAAATAATTACCTCCTGCAATGAAGTTATGTTTCTGGCAGTATTTGTGTGCGTCGTTAAGCAGGATAGCTCGAAAAGTTTTGAATGAATTCTGATAAAACTTGTAAAGTGGGGTCTCGTTAACAAGTCATTCTAATTTGACTCACATCCACCAAGGTCTTCAAGCTCCACTCAATGATCTATTGGTTAAAAAATGTTTTATATCATCAAAGAACGTATTGTTGAGAGAAATAAAACGAGCTGCCTGTTTTTATATATACTATAGTATAATATTAAATATTAAGCTCAAGATATTCATGTTCAGTTACTTACAAATCAGTAAATTTCAACCTGCGTAATGTTTGTGTAATCAACCTAAACATCTGTCACGGTACCCTTATCTGATTTTTTTTTTACCACACGCAGAAGACTAAATGAATATATCCATCCTTTCTCTACGGTTTATCCTTGTCAGGGTCACGGGGGGCTGGAGCCTATCCCAACTACCTTGGACAGGACAGGCTAACAAAAATGAATATATAGAAAATACAGTATCATTCCCTTACAAGTAAACACTATCCGGAGAGTGGCAGAGGTTTTCGCTCCTGTTATACTATGTTGTTACTAAGCAACAGCGAATTGTTGAGTTTATTTGATAGTTTACATTAACTTTAAATGTAAGTTTTGAAATACTTTTAAAAAACACTATTAGGCTTTTACATGCAATCATGTAAGGCATTGCCACTCAATCATTCATCAACTTGACTTATTATGTTAATTTATTTTTTTATCCTTTCTTCTATGTGCATTATGTTTTAAGCTTGACAGAGATGCAGTTTATTTCCTAAACACCTCAGTAAAGCTGCTTCCATGCAGATAAAAAAAGCAGATAGTTAAACAGTCTAATGTTGCAGGCTTATTGGAAATCCATCTACATACTTTCACCACATGTGTATTTCTTCATAAACTTTCCTTCCAACTCGCCTCTGAAGAGGGCAGCCTGTAATTTCAGTGTAATTGCTATCTGTGCTGCTGATCTGCAGGTGGGATGCTTTTTCATTCTTTCCTTTTTCTGTTTGTTAATATTTTTAATTTTAAATATTGTTTTCAGCCTTATGGTGTTGTGAATCCACTTTAAATAAAAAAACAAATTTTGTTCCAGTTGTTTACAACTTTAGCTGATGTGAGGTAATGGCTTTATAAAACACTTCATACTCATTAAACCCCTGAAACCATTTTTGTAGCATGGCTGGTAGCGTTTTACCTGATAATAAATTTCACTTGTGTCTCCCCACCCCCACCTGTCCTCATTATGTTTCACATGCAGTTGCACAGCGATCTTTGTGACTCACCACCGGCCTCTAAGTATTAAGGCTGAGATGATGATCAGTCAAACAAAAAAGGCAACAGTGGCCGAGGTAGCCGGCAGTGATATAGAAATAAGGAATATGTGGAATCAGTGGGAGGGATTTAAGTATGTTATATGATCCGTTGTCAGTAACATCTAGTTTCCTGTTCCCATGGGTGCAGCCTGGAGTGTTCCAGCAATTTATTTATTTTTTCTTACGACCCTGAAAGAAACCTGACCAGATTTGACCTTCTCTTTTTAAAAATCTGGAGATAAATTCAAGTCTCTGTTCTTTTTTTATAGTTATTTTATAATGTTTCTCCCTAAGACATTTCTTTTGATGCTCTAAAAGTTATCTGTAAACATCTTGTCATGTAACCGTCCTATTTTTGCTCCTAGAAACTGAATTATTTTGGTGACCTCAGATTTAATGTTGATAGTGCACCTGATTCTGCAGTCACATAGCTGGGTAACTGACTAATGAAGATTTATATGGAGATATTTCATCCATGAAGAGTTGAAATATTCAGCGGCTTGAGTCTGGTCAGTAAAAGATTCAAAACTTTGCTTTGAGTACTAATCTTTGAGTGAACCTATAGCCAAATGTATACAGTATAGAAAGAAAGCGATGGCTGCCCCCCTTTCTCCCTCCTATTACACCAGGTACTGACGCAGTTTTGGACCTCCAAAATCCTCAGTCTGTTTTTGTATGTGGTGAAATAGCTGAATTTTGAGCTTTCAGCCAAGGTAATTTATCTTCGGTGTTAAGCTGGGTGCCTGTCTCAGCAGCTCCTCTGCTAGCTGAGGCCGCTAATTAATCTCCTAGGGGGCCGGCGCAGACACACTGCTCTCAGAGTGATGCATGAATGGAACACAGCAGCACAGGTACAGCCCCAACCCTCTTTCTGCCTCACCTAGTCTTTCAGATCTTCTTGATCTTATTATATCTCTATCATTATTGTGTTTTCTTCCCATCTTTCTCTAACCTCCTTCATTATTCCCCCTACCATCTCTTCTAGCTGTTCTTTTTCCCCTGCATGTCCTCCATCATTCTCGATTTCAACAATTCAAAAGCGGCTTCATGGTTGTTAATCAGTCCAGGCACTTAGACGAGTCATCTTTGCATTGACCTAAATAACTGCTGATCTACTTTAGGTAGGATGAGGCTTTTGAAAGTTTCAGATTTGTTTCATGAATCAGCTGCAAGAATGAGTCATGATGGTCAGCAGTAGGTCCAGTAATCGACATGCAGCAGACAATAAAAATAAAACCCTCATTTCCACACATGACTCAGAAATGGCAATGGATGATGATGAAACATCCTGTTGTTAAAAGTTGTTCAGCAGATTCAGTTTACTAGTGCTTTAACTGAGCAAGAGGCAGCATTATGTAATTGACAGTTTTCATCTAATGACTGAACACGGTCGTCCATCTGTGAAGTCTGCGCTTATTCAGTCAGGCTTACCCGAGTAGCCCTAAAGCTTTACGCCACCAACATTTACAGGCACAGCGTTCATGGGTCTCCATTATAGTGCTTCTGCAGTTAGTACTGAAGTTGGTCTGGAAGTTGTTAAGGTTTACC